CACGTTGCCCTGCCTTGAGTGCCTAAGCTGACCTCGTAGTAGCCGAGACTCCCCCTTGGATGACATTATGGAGCTTCCAAATATATACACCACATACCGGAAATCACTGGAGCCACTGCGGTCACGTCCACGGCCGAGCATACCTGCTCCTGAGCAACTTCCACCGCTGCCTCCCGGAATACCGCCACAGAAGCACCCTTTCGAAATTCCAAATGGCTTAGATGGTTTGATAGGAGCGCTCCGACGATCTTTAGACGACGACCTGAAACATGATCTGCCTGTACCACCAAGTTGGGCTCCTGGAACTATAACTACACATCCTTTCTCTGGAGGTGAAACAGCAGCGCAAGAGAGGCTTGCACATCTTATTTCTAGCGGTGCCATGAGCTCGTACAAGGCGACGCGGAATCAAATGCTTGGAGTCGATTATAGCACGAAACTGTCCGCTTTTCTAGCGCAGGGTGGGTTTTCCCTCCTGATGGCGAGCGTCGCAACAAGCGTGAGCACTAATCAGAGTCTTTCCTCTAGGCCACATTACAGCACGCCAGGTGCACTGGGCGATGATGGACTTTGAAGAAGGGCGGGGCCTGGGAGATGCTGTCACGGGCTACGGTCAAGGAGAGAACGACGGTACCGCCGCTGTCAGGTTCGAGCTATTATGGCGAGACTACATGTATTTGTGTGCCCGAAAATTCGGCAAGAGGATGTACGATCTGTCCGGCATCCAAGATCCGTAAGTCCTCCCAGCATTCGACGTTTCTTGAGATACGACTAAATCTTCTGCTTTCCACAGGAACAAGCGAAGAAAGCCCAGCGACGTTGAACCAACCCTCCATAGCGATCAACGCCCGCGGAAACGCTGGAAACACCTCGTCGAAAGCGGCGGCTTGGGCGATACCCCAGAGCGCACTCGCGAAGTCTTCGCAAGATTCCGATCTGGTCGTACAGGTGTTGGGCTCATCGACGCTGCAAACCGTGAACTCTTCCTCACAGGCTACACTTCCAATCGCGCACGCCAAAACGTAGCTTCCTTCCTGTCCAATTCGTCTCACCTTGGCATTGACTGGCGCGTCGGAGCCGAATGGTACGAGTATCTTCTGCTCGACTACGACATGGCTAACAACTGGGGCAACTGGCAATATGTCGCCGGTGTCGGTAACGATCCGCGACAAGGCCGTGTCTTCAATCCTGTGAAGCAAGCTCTGGATTATGATCCTCAAGGTGAATATATCAAGGCTTGGGTGCCAGAGCTGCGGCAAATCACTTTGACGAAGAATGTGGGGATGAATAAAGAGGAGTTAGATCAGCAGAAGCTGATGGGTCTGTATCAAGCATGGAGACTAAGTGACTACGAGAAAGATAGGTTAGGCCTGAGGGGCATCGAATGGGTTGAGTCGCCGTTGGTCAAGATCCAGTTTTCCGTGGGCAGTGGAAAAGGTCGAGGAGGTCAAAATAAAAGAGGCAGGGGGAGGGGAGACTGGCGAGGTCGTGGTCGAGGTCGTGGGAAGAGCACAGGGAGCCTAGGCATTGAGGAGAAGCTGGAAAAGACGCAGATCATGGATGAGCCCAACGAGCCGAATCGTTGAGTTTTATTTCGGTTAAAAACGCGTTCTTGGTATTGCTTCGGCCGCTTCTGCTGCACGCCTTGTCCATATTCTATTCACAATGCAGGAGTAGCCGCATTCACCGCGTCCATTGTCTTACAGCTAAAATAAGCACACATAGTGTAAGACAATCACCAAGCTAAGCACTCCTCACAATGTCCACCCAAGATCATCAAAACAAACGCTATCCTATCACTCTTAACACAAACCAAACCTCATGTGCAAGATCCGATTCGAGCCTCTCAGTCGCAAATCAAAGCACACCACCACCACCAACTCACCTCCAACCTCCATCTCCCGACTTCAAAAACAAAAACCCAAGGCCGCAAAGATGTCTCTCCCCAAGACCTACTGCATGTCCGCCGCATCAATAAGCTTGACTGCCGGCACTTCCTTCGCAAACGTCCCAGATCACTACGCCATCATGCAGCTCGACATTTGGGCGACTACTGAAGAGGTCAAGGTGCAGTTCCGCAAGCTGCGCACCGAGTATTTCACCTCAGACGCAGCGAAGTATCGGCAGCTGCAGACGGCGTACGCGGTGCTCGTAGATCGGGAGGCGCGTGCAGAGTACGACGCCGTGTATCGCGAGAGGATGGGACTGCCACCGCCGACAATCACAGGTGAGCTTGTTTCCACTGTCTCGTCGTCGCGCAAGATTTCCATCATGCAGGCTGCGGTGTCCCGCATTGATGCGCAGGCGTCGCCGTCCCAGGAAGATCGGCACCGCGCGGAGATGGCCAGGCTTGAGGCTGAGCGTGCTCGTGAGGAGGAAATGCGTGCTAGAGAGGCGGAAGAGCAACGCGTTCGTGAAGAGGAGCAACGTGTTCTTGAAGAGGAACATCGTGCTAGAGAGGCAGAGGAGCAGCGTGCCCGTGAAGAAGAGGAGCAGCGCGTTCGTGACGCTGATCCTAACTGGCACTTGAAGCACTTCTCGCAGAAGTACAAGCCCTTGAATGGATCGCGGCTGTACCATAGTTTCGTTCCTGTCGCTAAACACTACGAGCGTAGCAGCCGCAAGCTTAAGTCTCAGCGTCCGACTTACGGTGGAGGCTTCGCAGTCATGGCAGCGCCGTAGTTGCGCAGTGTAAGATTCGGGATGAGATCCCTGGAAGCTTTCCCACAGTATGGTTACAGGGAGACGGTAAATTTGTATCTGGTATAGCATTACCGCTTCCTTTTGGTTTCAATTACTACACTTATTTTTGCAAAAAGATTCTGCCTATTATCTAAATGTCGTACCTGTGTATTGGTTTTGATATTCTGTACGCTGCTTTACTTCGCGTAATGCGAATGGACTAACTCCACAACTGCAAAGTAACAACCAACTTCGACGGACAGGCAAAAAGACATCCCTACACACTGTAGGATGGCAAAAAGTGACTCAGCCGAGGTTCGAACTCGGGACCTTCAGTGTCGCACATGAATGTGAGACTGACGTGATAACCAACTACACCACCGAGCCTGTTGATGCTGCATGTCAATGGTCGAGAATTTTACACTTATATACCAGAAGATTTGCATTCTTCCCACTGAATAGAAGTAAAAAGGATTCATGTCATCTTGTTCAACACAGCTTTGGGTGACAGGGAGCTAATGGATAAGCGTCCGTTGGCGCGTTCGGTAGCGAACACAGGGGCTTTACCGCACCAACCAAAACGACCCCACCTCCATCCTCAACACGGCGACTGTTTTCTGACACCATCGACGTGCCGTCCTTCATAAAATCTTAGTATCCACGATGCAATAATCTCGTGTATCAAGAATTGGTGCAGGAAGAATTGGTGCAGTGTTATCTGGTAGCGGCCTGCCGGGCTCAGTACGATGCAGAAGAATCTCCAGGCCACAAATTTCCACCTGACGGAAGAGACTAAGCTTTCCGAGAATTTCGATTAAATAAATTAACGTATGTATGTAAGACACCATACCCCTATTATACCCTGACATGGAATTTCTAGAGTTAGCCGTTATGTCACCAACCAAGACGCTTGCCGCATTTCCTCAGCTTCACTAGCGTACAGGAGAAACAGGAAAGAGGAAAGATTAGCTATAACAGGAACCATAGTCGGTAACTTCTAACGGTTCTTCTGAAAAGTGGCAGCCGTGTTCCGGAAAACCATGATAATCCAAAATATACAAAAGCCATATGTGGGCAAGCAAAACCGCGAGAGGATTCTTAATTTAACCAAACCCATCCTAGTCACATCTCCAACTGTCTCTTTAAAGCATCTGCTGGGCACGAGTTAATTATTTCTGTTTAACTACCTGGTTTTTCTCCGGTATTGGAAAATACCAACACCACCGCGTTAAAGATTACACTATGGATGGATATCTTTTGTTCTGCAAGTATTTAGGGCCACTATGCACGTTAGAGTAGCTATATAGGAGCGAGAGATATATGCGATGGAGTAAACCTAGCAAACGCTTTGAATCCTGTCAAAAAGGTAGCTGTCGATTAGATCACTTTACACCGTGTAATCGTGGGACTTGAGGACGTACTCTTCCAACCAATATGGATAATAACCATATGTTAAAGGTCATAACAGCGCAACCTTTGTTTGCTAATTGCCCATTATTTATCCGCGCAGTTCCTGATGGAGGACAGCGCTATTTATGTTCTTACTAGAGCCGGAGTTCAAGACTACAAACCGCAGCAGGAAACTCATTTAAACAAGCCCTGATGTTTTTTCCACAGAAAATTAACCTTATCGGATTTGCGCGCAGTATCTGTACAATACTCGCCAGTTACCCAGTAGACCGATGTTCCCATCCAATATGTCTATGGGATCTTGCGGGATCGTATGCAACGCCACTTAAATACTGGCGCGGTTGTAATAGTGCTCAGATGCTTTGCCATTCGTACTAAGCGACCGAGAGAATAAAATTACACTTTAGCTCCTACTTATTAGATGTTACACTCTACATAGGTACCACCTTATAGACTTTGTCACTACTCTAGATACAGGTCGGTACAACTTTGTTTAAAATTTCGGCATTACTTATCCCGCCGGGTTGAAGTCATCACCACAGCTTCAAGATGTTCAGATATCTCCACACCGCCAGGTCTTCCCCAGCGCAGGCACCCAGACCTGCAGCAATGGATAGCATAACCTGTTCTAGATTGGAAAACGTTTTATGTTGTCCATGAACCGACTGAGCTTGCACTCCGTCGCAAAAGAAGCGCTACAGACAAACTATATACCTTCCACAACGACATACACAGCAACATCCCCAGCGCCAACGTATGTGTCACTACCTTTGCCAACTACACTGTCCCATATCAACAAAGAGGCAGTTCATCATTATGCAGTCTAAGCCCAAATGATTGTAGTAAGAAAAAAAACGCAAAAAAGAAGACCACAAATCGAACGCAGAACTTCAAGCATTAACAACTAATGACTCAGCCGAGGTTTGAACTCGGGACCTTCAGTGTGCCGTGTTCTTCTTCGGAGTACAGTACATGTATACAATACTGAACGCCGGAACACGTGTTAGACTGACGTGATAACCAACTACACCACCGAGCCGTGATTCGTTGCTCCCAATTTCCACTGTAATCATCATATCCGTTGCCGGCAGCCATCTCGTCGCACAAGGTGTGATGCCCCGTTTTTCGATAGATCAAGGTCGCATAGTTTGCGAGTGTAAAAACCTAGCAAATTTTCAGTGCGAGGATAGACCCGCAACGCTAAACGTAGCGATGCAACTTCTACAAACACTAAACCCGACATTAACCTCTAATTACATACACAGTATCACCCCTTGGGTCGGGGACGTAGTGTAGGAAGGATCCGGCAAGGCTGGCAAGCGTCAATTTGCATTCTGGTTATACAGATGTTTTTTGTTGCGGTCTTGGAAAACCCCTAGCCGAAGGGAGACGCAACGTTCCCGAGCTAACGCGAGGATTGTAGAGTAAAAACTACCAAAGAGAAGCTGTGAACATCCACCTAATGCATTGCAAGCGGATCTAAACAGTATAGCCAGTCTAACATGGATAAGACACGCCCTGGTTCCTCGTTGCGGAGCCTTCCAAGATTGGGCTAGACAAAGAGCTCGCACGTAGCCGTATATCGCGCAAGCCACTATCATTCCACCATCAATTATCAATTCGGAAATTTGCGCGAATCAGGGCGGTCGCATTCTGTCTGTTGTGCAGAAACGGGCTTGCAGTGTTAGCAATCTACAATACGCTGTGAACCTTGCTCGTCGAGATCAAGCACTTCCATGGTTCGAAGGTTGCTGATAGAATGTTCAGGTAACCCGGTAGCTCGGTGGTTGGTACTATAGGCCTAAGGCCAGCATCGGTCTCAAATGATGAGAACGAAAGAAAATGAAGCACACGCAAGGTTGGGGATCTGTGATCTATGATTGCATTGAGACCTGGAAACTATTCACACGTAGGTAGTACAACCCAGACCGGGGAATTTTGAAAGAAGCAAGAACCCGTCTAGAGAACCGAGAGGTCTCCGAACTTCTCCTGTAGGGGAGTTAGCCATCCAAATCCAGATTTCACAAGGACTTCGTGGGCGACTCACCTTGTAGCCCGGTACGGCCCAGCGACCCTTGGACACGAGCTGCTCGGTGCGCTTGTCAATGTCGGGCTGGGCAGCCGCGACCTCGTCCTGTCCACGTATTAGCGTCCACCTTATAACCCATCCATCGCCATCATGTACGCACCACAGTCAACTCGTCGAATGACCTGGCCTCCTCAATGTTCTTCAATGTTTTCTGCAAGTCGCTCAACTCCCGGTCGACCACAGCCTTGGTTTCCTCGGCGCTCTTCACAGCCTGTGCCTCAAACGCCTCGATAGCCTTGATCTGCCTTGAGACATCGTACGTCTGGGGCTTGAACGCGTTGAACTGCTTCTCGATATCGTCGACGATGGCCGTGTTCTTGAGCACGGAGCGGTAGTAGGCGAAGTCGACAGTCTGGGGCTGCTCGGACAGGACGGTTACTTTGCGGCGCGCATCGTCGTTGCGCTTCTTGAAGCTCTGGAGGGCCGCGGCAGTCTGGCCTTTGAGACCGAGCTGGGTGCCCAACCTGGTCCAGTCGATTTTAAGGGCGGCGCTGCGCTGCCAGCTGTTAGTTGTGCAATTCTCGAATTCTGCGGGCCGGGTGCCATTGGGCGTGCGGGAGCGTTTCCGAAGCAGCAATTGAGATACAGAGAGCTCGGAACGATGCGGGGGATGGAGAGACGTACTCCGACAGACATTGTGTGATGGATTGGGACGGGTTCGGTGGGGATAAAGTCGCAATGAGAGGTAGTGAAGTTCACGATCCGCAGGAGCGACCGAAGTTGGGCTTGGCACGCTAACCAATCTTGGATTCAAGGTGAGCTTCCAGCAGCTTCATCGGGCCTGGACGGATGAATGTCTCAAGCAAGATGGATATCTTAATTACGTAGCAAGTATGATTCTACTCAGTTACTTCAAAAGTGCATGGTAATCCATGGTTTACTTGCTCAAGGCACAAATCAATCACGGATGCAGATTGCGACGTTGTGGGCATGAAGGAACCAAGATGCTTGGGTGTAATCCTTCGTATATAGCTTATACATTGCGTCTAGAAGTCATGAAGACTCCATGACGCCCAGGCGAAGCCATCCATTTTTCCTTTCCGAACCATGGCCGTAACGCGTTGCAAGCTAATCAGCCTATATGCTGAGCGCCATGATGGAGTTGACAATGTCGTTGTCATTCTCCTTGAGAGCCTTGACGGCCTTCTTTCGCGACACACTGGCCTGCGCCATGACCAGCTCGATGTCCTTGGCCTCTAGACCAGAGTCGTCGACCTCCTCGTCATCGTCCTCTTCCTCCTCCTCGTCCTTAGTAGCCTCGACGGCTTTGCCCTTGCCGTGGTCATGACCCTCGTGGTCGTGGCCGGAGTGATCGTGGCTGGCAGCCTCCTGTGCGGCGAGCTGCTGGGCGGCGTTGGCCTGCGCGGTGGAGTTTAGGTCCTCGATCTTAGCCTCACCGAAGATGCTGCAGGACTGTCAGTGACGCAATGGCGGGGTTTTCCTGAACAAACTCACATGTACGTGTTGCTGGAGGGCGACTTGTAGACATCGGGCTGGTTGATGACGAAGAGAATCTACGTCCTGCTGTTAGCCAAATTTCGAACCTCGATTGTGGGGCTGCTCAAGTCGTCGTGTGCGGAGAGGTTCAGCAACCATTGCGCAGGCTGAACTCACTCCCTTAGGTCGGCGGAGAGTCACACGGGTGATGCCCTCAATGTGCTTCAGGCCAAGCTTGCCGATGGCCTTGCGTGCCTTCTTCTCGTTGCGCGAGTGCACAGCGACCGCGGCGCCTGCGGGGATGCTGGCATCGGCCTCGTTTTCGACCTCAGAGTCGGAGTCGGATTCTGCCTCTTCGATCTCGACGTTCTTCTTCTCGGGCTCATCGGTGATCTCCTCAATTCTTGGGTTCGCCATTTTGTTGACTGGTGTTGTGTTGCCTGCGGGGATGCTGTCGACCGTGATTGTGTGGAGGAAATGGCAGTAAATTGGGCCTAGGGAGAGATTAGCCGAGTTCTAGCGCGTGCGGCCACAGCGTAACAGCTATGCGCGGCAGAACACTCGAAACTTGGTACTTTCCCAAGCCTTCCATCGAATTTGCATGGTTTGGGCGAATGCATTGACTCCCGAATAGAACTGAAGGCCGGCCATACACAGTTCAACAGCCTATCCAGTCAAAACACCATCTTATAGGTTTAGATATGCCATGGAATGGGGGATGCAATAGCAAAAGGCTTAATCTTAACTAAGCACTGTATAGCCGGTCTTCAGCTGCCCGCGCAAGTGTGCATAGTGATATGTTCGTCGGGTGTGCACAGTCAGTCCTTGTAAGAAATATCAACTGTCATGGTGGGTGATGTCAGTCTGGAGAAGCTGTACCATCCTTACCATTCCTTTGCAAAGTCTTCTGGACATTGTTTCTATGTCATGCAGCCTGGATCCAATCACCAAAGTGCGATGGCGCAACTGGCGCCAGACTGCCAGCGCAAGGGCAAATATAGCACCATGAACATCTGTCAAATCCATCGTCGAGACTGCGCAGGCATATGGTGCCCAAACCGGATATCAATTACAGAAATGCTAATGTTGGGTTCATGAACTTTGGAATTGACTCTTTCTACATGCGCTCACATGAGAGAGTCGGCTTAACCTCCAGATCCGAATTGCTCCGTGCCAAACAGGAAATCATGCGCCCTAGTAAGGTTGGAAATTTTGGATGCCGTGGATAGCCTTTCGATTTGATCATGATGTGCGGGTGCCCTCCGCTGTGACTTGGGACAAAGCACCCGCCTCCCGTACCCCCGACGCCGATGATGATGTCTATGCTGCGCTGCGGACCTTGGCGAGAGATTTGCGGACCTCGAAGCGGGCCTACATTAATGTTAGTTGTACGTCCTTCGTGCTATGCAACTCCACCGAGCGACCAAGACAGGGGCAACCCACCTGCTTCCTGAGCTTCATGACCTTGAAGCGCTCGAAGTCGTTGAGCTGCTTCCTCTTCTGGAAGGCTTCGCGCTTCTTCGACCAGGTGCCCTCCGCCCACTTCTTGTCGACCTCGTTCTTCTCCCACTGTGCTGCGACGAAGCCACGTCCGGCGGCACGGGGAAGCTTGGGGATGACGATGGGGGTGAGGGAGACCTTAGCGAGGGGGATGGACTGGCGGGGAACGGGAGCGTCCTTGTTGGGACCGTCTACGAGCACCTAAAGTCCTGTGAGCGGCGCGCAAAAGTCGTATTCGCAGAGGCTTCATACACGCTTGTGGTCGATGATCTCGACGATGGTGGCTATCCTTCCGTTGTACTCGCCGCCCTGGAAGAGGACGACACGGCCGACCTCGACCAGCCTCCAGGCGCTCGTTGTGATATCGGCGTCACCCATTTCGACGGTATGTGCTGTAGATACACGTTAGGATTCGATTGAGCGTATGGAAGTCTGTCGCTGGCGTACCAGTCGGAAAGAGGAGTCGTTGGCTGTGTTGTCGTTAGTTGTCGAGATTGTTGCGGTGATACTCCAAAGCCGAAATGTTGTGGTGTGGTCCGCCAAGAATAGGCGAGGTGCTAGCGCGGAAAGCAGCCAGGCGTTTTTCTTTTCTCCAGCCGCCCCGACCTCCATCTTCAATCATCATTCTCTCTGCATCCGCGCAACACACCGACTTACACAAGTTCGCGAGCCCGCTGCATCGCGAAGTACTTCTAGTATGAAGAGCTAGCTGCACCAGCATCGCCTTATCAATGCGCGCCTGCTCGATCGCGTATCAGGTTGTCCTATTGGTACAGCCGCAGGGTCACTCACATAGGCAGCACCGCAGTTTCTCGGATCCCGATAGGTATGTCTGCGCCTCTCTTCTTGTCACTCCTGATCATTCCGCAATGATGAGTCAAATTTGCGATTGAGTCCTCTGTCGGAGACCCTCGCCGGGGTTTCTTAACGGCTTTGGACTTATGATATTCAATTTCTTACATATTCTGAGCACCTTTCGAACATCGGCTGTTCCTTTCGCGTCTGCCTGCATG